CCCCTCTCCCGTCTACTGTGTCCTTTCCGGGCGATTTTTTTTCTCTCTATCTCTCTCTCACGGAGCGTAGCGCGTCGGGTGGATTAATCAAGCGGGGCGTAACGGAACGCCCGCGGTGATTAGAGCGTAACGACGACAACGGATGAAATTGCAGCGGACACGAGGAATATCCTGATTTTGCAGGCGGGTTAGGACGCGCGCGTCGGTTAATTACAGTAATTTACGCCGCGTGGACTCGTAAGGCGATCTGATTACGCGAGAGCCGGTGGCGGCTTTACGTACGTCGGCCGACACACGCGGCGGTGATCGATGGCGACTGGTATCGATAGATCCTGGGCTGGAAATCGCGGGCGAATTCGTCGTACGACGCGCGCGACGAGCACGGCAGCCACAACGACGGTGGTAGTGGGGGTGACTTTGAGTGTCTCTAGTTAGGGTTACAAAAGCGCTATATATTTCTATACGCTCACTCGATTACGCCGATGTCGCGTGCTCGATCGCGGGGAGAGACGACGCGTAGCTTAGCGTTAGTGGGACGAATAGCGTCGAGATTAGCGGGGACCGTAGTCGTTGACTAGCGAACTAACGACACCGCGTTTTCGTGCCGCGACCATTCATCCGCGTCGATCCGACGACGATCGCGATATTACGGCGAGTAATTCCCGATATTATTGTAGACGAATGTAGAGCACGTTCGGTGAATTCTAACTAACGACGAGGAAGAAAGCGGAGAGAGCCCTCGACGTTCCCGGACTCGCCGGGGGCGGGGAGGCGGAAGAAAAAAGAAAAGAACAAAAAAAGGTAAAACGGAGAAAATGGGGAAAAAGCGACGGAGACTCGCGCGCGTATATTTTGTAGTGCGAAGACAGGCGGCGAAGAGAAACGAAGCGCGACGCGATTACCGTGAGGTGACGCACGTGCGTGTGGCGACGTGGCGTGGCGACAAAAGAACCCTAATTTAAGATACTACACGTAGAGATAGATTCCTAGAGCTCGTGGGCGACACAAAGGTCTAAAAGCATCGAGAGAGAGAGAGAGAGAGAGAGGGTAGGATTGTGTAAAAATTCGTAAGAGTCTCGGACGAGCTACGAAGGCAACGACAAAAAGCGTGATGGTTAATTGCGATTAGCGTATAACAGAGCAGGGATACAGCGGGAGGAAGCCGGTCGGTGGGAGGAGACCGCGCGACGAGCAGCTGGACCACCGACGTAACTTGTTGAATTCGACGAGTCACGCTCGCGTAGCCGCGCCGTCGCTCACTCCTTCGATTTTCCTTAAAACGGAGACCCGTCGGAATTTATATCGTTTATCGACGTTCGCCCGATCGTCGACGCTCGTCTCCATCGGACTGGACGGCGTGTCCGCTCAGCTCCACGTGGTATGTCACGCCGGCTCTCTGTAAGTCGCGCGAAAACGCTCGATTGGCTCGCGACGATCTTTCGGCACTTTCGAAAGCCGAGATACATCTCGTCGGGATGTGCCCATTGAACGCTCGGCCCCCGGTTATCGTCGGATTTCTCCGGGTCGTCGGAACGTCGTCGCCGAACGATGTAAACGAAGACGCGTCATGCCGCTCGCCTTATATCTCGCCTCCAGGATGGTCTGTCGTTTCGTAAGGACACGCTTCCGGCGGTCGCCGAATCGCCGATCCAGCTGCTCCCACCGAGCGCGCATGCCCGTTTCTCCAATTAGTTATAACGTATAGATATACGGTGTTACACACAGAGATAAAATCTAGGGATAAAAAAAGAAGAGTATAGGCTAGCGTAGCAATAACACGACTACTATCGCACCAGTAGCAGCGCTTCGCGGGGTAAATAAAAGGCGAAAAGGAGAAAGAGGAAAACGGGGGAAGCTTGCCGGAATTACGATGCGGTCTTCGCGAAGCGCGCTCGGCAAAGATCCGGGATACCATCGTGTAATATTGCTTCGGCCTTCGGCACGCGGGCTCCGCTCGGAGAGCGCGAGAAACGTTTCGGAAACAATAACAAGATCGCCTCGCGAAACTTTCGCGTCCGCATGCTGCACCCCC